AGAGGTGAGTGGAGTTCAAACAGGTTTGATATTCTTCTTGCGACCTACAATAGCCGATCAGGAGCTGGTCGTGAAGTATTAGTCAGTTCTTGTTACCCCATGTATACTACACGAACCACGATTAAGCCAAAACTCGGCCTGATCCTAAAAACAGTCGCATGAGTGAAAAATCGGCTCAAAAACAACCAAAAATCACACTCCCGCCATTAGCCTACATGAAGAACATGAATTAAAAGTTAAAACAACATATTCAAGTTAAGGTACACTTTATTGTCCTTCTGCATTTGACCCATCCTTTAATGCCACTGGGTCATCTTCATTTCTCCATGATCTTGTTGCGATGCTTGGACCACCTTAGTGGACGATTTTACCTATTGTGCATGTTTTGGCTTGATGAGAGACCCAAGGATTGAACCAGGAACCTTTTTTGCTGTGAAGTGTGTATGCCAGCTACTCAACCAGTGTGTCACTATTAGAAAATCTGATTTGAATCCATGTTTTATTGCTAAATAATAGAGTGAAAATCATGCATTCTTACTGAGAGCAGGGGATGGTTGTCTTCAGATCCGACTTGGAAAATTGGCCTGGTGGTGTCACCATCGGGATAAAAAGGTTTAATCCCATACTGTGAAACATTGAGACAAACTGAGGCAGATGAACCCCCCACTATAAAAGTTTCATTGTGCACCTTCAAATCTCTCCAAAAGCATAACACTAAAAATAAACATTTGCCCATATGGCAGTGTCATTTCACAGCACAGAATACTATTTCAGGCTGGACTTGTCACTGTGTCCATACGAGCAGTAGTGGTAGTATAGTAGTATATGATTCAATTCTACTCCTATGCAATTTTCCTCGGTGCTCCGGAAAGCCTCAGGACATGACTAAATGAAAACTAAATACATAAGCCTTGTGCTGAGTTTCATCTGCTTTCATCACTTTACAAACGTTTAATGAGTTCCGCGCCCTGGTTCAAGCCCACTTAAATACTTGACTTACATTTGGGGGATTTGGCAATAAATGAAACTGTTTCTGGAGACAGACATAAGACAGAAGTCGATGCTGTAATCCTGCCCCAAAACAGTGCAGCAAAGGTCATATACACACTAGTCCTGACAGCTTAAATTAGAGATGCATTTTGTGACTTTCCTGGAGGAGGATCTGTCACCTGCGTGTTTCTATGGATATGTCATTGCTCTGTCTGGAATGTTCCACAGTATGACATTAAACAGCTTTACCTTACATGTATTCAATTACAGGTGGTTTTACGGCTCAAAAATCCCTAGAAAAACAGGGATTGTGACTGTAAGTATAGTAGCCACTCCACAGATCTGACCTGTAACTTGGACTGGTTTGGTCTTCATGAAGATAGAAAGGTTTAATGCCATACTGTGAAACATTCCAGACAAAGCAATAACATCACTATGGAGAAAATCATTTGACAGACCCTCCACTAGAAAAGATACACAATGCAGCTTTAAGGTAATAAACAATTTGTGCATTATGGATTAAAATGATCCAGATTTAATAACTACAAGTATATAATAAAGGTAGTATTTGAATATTAAATAAGTACTAAGCCAGAATCACTCCTGCAAAAGTGATTTTTTTTTAGCTTTCGTCTATGTTATATTTGTTCTTCCTTTGTCAAAAAATGCCTGAAGTGGTTTTAGACATTATCCATGGATGTTTCAGTAATTTTAGATCTCTCCTGGGCCCTTTCAAACCCTCATAATGGGCATCTGTAAGATTCTGTCCAATGCTCAGCCCACAAGCCTACATCATCCATACTCCCACATGAAAATTCTCCATAAATATGCAAAAGCAGTACACAACAACTCGACAAAGTTGATACGATGTGCAGGATACGCGCTGATTGTGCTGTGATAGAGCTCAGAAGGGGGAGTAACTGCACAGAGAGCAAAGGGAGGTGGGGACTCAGAAAATGAAACCTATAAAGCAATAAAGTAAAAGGTAATATGGCGATTTAAATGTTCTGTGTTAGCAGTTAATTTCCCATCTTCAGCAAAAAAAAAAACCCAAAAAAACACATGCAATGGCGCCAAAATATTTAGTTTTTTTGGTCAAATTAAAGGTACCTGTAATTTAACAATTAAAAAACACCTCTGACAACTAGTCTTTCAAATATGAAACATTCCCCCATGTTCACTTTGATTAGTTTTGAGATGACAGACAGAGATATACAATAGCACATACAGTTGTCCATTTAAAACATGTTCACACTTTCAGCACCATGGACAGCTGCCTTCATGTCAGTACAACAGCCTGGGATTTCCAGAAGCTTTGCCGGGGAAAAGACCTGTATTTTTCACCTTGGCTTGTACTGAACAGGTCAAATACAGTTGCTCCTCAGTGGAAGTTATACTGGGGTCTGGTTTTAAGTCTTGTCTTGAGACTCACTTTTATTCTCTGACTTTTAACACAGCGTGAATTCTGGCATTCTGGAATCCTTTATGCTGGCATAGTATTAAATTTGGCTATCTTGCATTTATTCCATTAATGTTTTTATATTGCTAAAAGAATTAAACAGTGTGTCTCTCCATAGATCTGAACTTGGCCTGATTGTGTCACATGCTTGTGTCCATAGAGAAAGATCTGTTACTGTTCTTGCCTGGTGATCACAACAACAAAGAGAATTGGATTTATTTTATAATAGTGTCAGAGCAAAGGAAAAAATAACATCTCCATGGTGACAAGCAGATGGCAAATCCTCAATAAGAAAAGTGACATAGTGTATCTTTAATGTTGATGGCCTCAGATCAGCGGTTGTGATGCACATATGAACCTAAATGTGTTCTTCTAAACAGAAAAAAAGCACTATTTCAGACTGTTTAAAGGGTATTAGACAAATTTGTGATCTATGTTATAATGTTGTTTCTTCATCACAGACATAACTGGAGTTGTTTGTTGTATTTGTGTACAGAAACCTTGCATATTTAGGCTAAGATTTTCTCTGAAACTGAAGCGAAAACTCAAATGTCATGTGGTAATACATGAAGTGCTCCACTGTGTTTTTAATTGCATACATGCAGCCCTGGAATTTCCAATCTCTACTAAATAAAAGGTTAAAAGTAGTTAAGTAGCTGTTAACTTGAAAACTATGCTTCAAGACATCACAAGGTGGAAAAGAGTGTTTTGAGTTTTGGAAATGAACATGTGTAAATGAAACAAAATACAACTCCAGCTAGGGCTGATCGATTATGGAAAAAAAAAATTATCACAGTTATTTTGGTCAATATTGAAATCATGATTATTCAAAGGATTATTTAGTTACACAATACATTTAATCAGCATTTCTCTTGAAAAAAAAAAAAAAACTAAACTTAAAATTAAAATTATTTTGATAATTATTACTGATAATTTACACAAAGCTTTCAAACTGAAAATAAATATAGGCGACAAGTATGAACCTTAGAGCAGTTTTGCGATGTATAAAACTTAAAATGAATAAAATATACTTTGCACATGACATAAGGCATAGAAAAACACAAATGTATCCAAAATAAACTAGCTGGTGGGATGGGTAGTGGGATCCAGCTGTTTTACAATAATAAATAAATGTACTTATTAATATAAAAAAAAATATCCTAAAATAAACTTTAAGCTTTATCGTTTCAACTCAATGATATGAGTTTGGAGATGGTTTGATACACAAATCGAAATTGCGATCAAACTTCAATTAATTGCACAGGCTTAACTCCAGCTATTTTTTTTTTTTGAGAAGGTAAATACATTATAACGCAGCCTAAAGCTCACAAGAGTAAATTTTGCATAATATAGGACCTTTAACTTCTTCCCACAGCAAACCTAGACATCTTTGCAGAACCGAACCTTCTTCCTGCTGTCACTGTTTGAAGCTGACTTTGCTCTACAGAAGACATTTGTCCCTTGAGCGTTGCCAGGGCGATGGATGGGAGAGTTTACAGTAGGGTTGACAGGAGCTAAACCCATCTGAGCATTGTCAACACAGATACACAAGTACAGCCCTGCCTGCTCCCTCTGACACTCACATTCACCGTGTTGCCAGTTGGCGTCTGATCCAACTTTTATGTAAATGTAATCAGTGTGGAATTACTGCTCATGCTACAGTGGGATCAGGGGGATCACAGACTCAACAAAAACAACTCTATCATCTTTATATTTAGTTTAGGGACTATAGTAATAAAACATGGAAGTCAATGGCGAGGAGCGGACCCGAATAAGAATGTTGGAAATACAAAACTGGATGCATGTGAAATACTAAATGATTTGCTTTTGCTATGCTTCTAAAAATACCAAAGAGTGTGTCCTTGGTGTTAGGGCTGCACAAAATGTCACAATTGAATCAAAACTGTAATTTAATAAGCGTGATTATCCAATTGCAAAGGCTGCAAGTATTTAAATCATAGGATTTCCTCTGCAAAAAAAAACATTTTAGAATAATCTCGTAGCTGTAGTTTGGACCACTACAAACACTTTTTTTGTATTATTTC